GATAAACACATAGACAACTGAGAAGATCAAATGGGGTCAGTAAACAGGATTATACTCTAGACCAAGGATAGATTCAGCTGAGGGTAATCTTGCACAGATACCAGTGATACAAAATAAATGCAATGCTTACAGAAACAACAGAAAACAGACACTGTGGGAGAGAGGTCTGCTGGATCTGCTGACTCAGGACCGTAGTATTGGGGGACACCAGACTCGATTGGCACAAAATACATAAAACTCTTAAAACTCTTGTTCCACAACCTTCTTTGGTAAGTAGTGACTGGGGTCTTAAAAGCTTTTGAGTGGCCATCTAAGGTGCAGCTGATGGTCTCCTATGATCAGAAGCGAAGAAGAGTGAAAAAAAAGAAAAAGGGCGTTTGGAAACAATCAGCCCTAGGACACGATGGGCCTCCACTGGGAGAACTAGGTGGTGCTCAGCTACCAATGCCAACCACTCAGGAAGGGATCAAAGCTGGAGATCCTGGATAGAGTGGGAGAAGAAACGTGGACCAAAATCCAAAAACAATAATGACCAGTATTACTGGTGAGATGGAGTCTGGTGGGACCCCCTAAGACTATGGCCCTGGGATACACTTTGGGCCTTTAGATAAAACTCATTCCCAAGATCTGGCTCTCGGCCCAATAGTAAATAAGACTTACATGCAGAACACCCAACCCAGGCCAGTGCACCCACGTACTCTATGGAGATACATCCCTTGGAGCAATTGGCCATGGGGCACCAGAGGAGCAACATTCATGCTGAGGAAAAGCTGGACACATAGGAGTGCATAACTAACAAGAGCACAGGGAGGGGGGAGTTACTGGGAAGGGAGAGGAAGAGAGTGGGTTAGGGTTAGTGATAGTAATTGGGGAATGAAACCAAATGTACATAAAATGTTGAATATAAAACATTCTGCTCTGTAAATCTGCACCTAAAGCGCACACACACAAAAAAGACTGCAAGTGTTGTGTGAACATACTTTAAACTTCTTTTTGAGCACTGAAAGAATTACCATGTAAATTGATGAGTCTTTAAAGCAGTCTCTCTGACAAAGCAGGGTGTCATAGTTGATGGATGCTTTTATTAAATGGTTCTGTTTGATTGTTTTCTGAGTAGAGAATCCAAGTATCATGGGGAGTAACCAAAAACCAAAGCAAACCCATTGACATCAAGTTGATCCCAACTCATAGTGACCTAATGTGACAGCAGAACTACCCCACAGTGTTTCCAAGGCTATAATCTTTACCAAAGCAGACTGCCACATCTTTCTTTCAGAGTAGCTGGTGGGTTCCAACTGTGACCTTTCAGTTAACCACTGCACCACCAATACACCTGCATGGGGATTAGAAATAAAATAGACTATAGCTCCAAAGCTGCTTATCATCTCTTTGGGAAGATAGTGTGTGCTCTAATACAAAATACAGTCACGATCATTTGTCTTTCTACAAGATTGCATATAAGAAATACATGACCATTAATAAATTATTACTGTGGTAGTTAAATTTGTGTGTCAACTTGGCTAGGCCTGGTTGAGTGGCTGGGCAGCTGGATGTAGTTATTCCCCATGGTAAGATTGGTAATTAACTCCATGGTGAAATGTATTGGAGCAGCTGCTTTAGGGATGTGGTCTGCTTCCCATATGTAAGCAGCAGCTTTGGAAATGGTGTCTAGCTTATGGCACAATTGAACCCTGTATGTTGCCCTGTCGTTCTTCAGCAGCCTGCCATGCTCTGCTGACCTTGAGACTTTCAGTGGATTTTAATTAATGGCCTGTCCTATGGTTAGGTAACATCAGGACTGTGCCTTTTTACTTGTTGACCTTGTGTTTGTCACCCTCACCAGCCAGCAGCTGCCTGAGTGAAGAAAAGCCTCTAGCTCCAGTGGGCTAGGAGCAGGAGGCAGAGCTGATGCCCAAGGCTGAGGGGCTTTCACCCAGCCCCAAGAGCCTCCAAACTGTAAGAGAATAAACTATTTGTTAAAGCCATCCCATTTGTGGTATTTTCTTGTCAAAGTGGCACTAGGTAACCAGAACAATTACTCTTTAGATACTGGAGAAAATGTAGATGACATATTTAACTCTGTGCACTGTATTAGAAGAGACCCTAGATTCAAACTTGTTCTATTTAAAAAAAAAAAAAAAAAAAAACCAACTCACTGCCGTCAAGTCAGATCTGACTCATAGCGATACCTCCTTGGGTTTCCAAGGTGGTATCTCTACGGAAAGTAGATTGCCCAGTCTTCCTTCGAAGGAGTGGCTGGTGGGTTTGAACTGCCAGCTTTCTGGTTAGCAGTCAAATAAAGACCCTTTATTAAGCCTTAGACGAGACAAATACAAAACAAAGACAATCACCCAAGATGAGGGAAACCGTTACCATGTACACAGTACAGAAAGCTAAATGGAGTCCCCTGGGTCACAGTCATGAGGCTAAATATATATGATTGAAAATAAAGGAAATGATCATAAAATCATGATTAGTAGCAGGTTAATCCATCACTGTTGGATGTGAGACTACGGAAGTGGGGAGGAAAGGACCATGACTGTGATAAGTATATAACTGAAGATTAAAAAGGGTTACAATATTGGTTCTGGGGCTTGACCAACTGGCTGTGGCTACATGGTGTTCATGGTATAACTCATGACCTTGGGGCCCTGAGTCATAGCCACAAGGCTACGAGACAATACCAGGACCCCAATTTTAAATTACTTAAGGACACCCAGGCAAGTTCGCTCGTTCTTTGTGTGAGCATTATCTACTTTCAACCATACTAGTGGTTCCTAAGGGCAAACTACTCCACCCTAGATTTGTCCTGGACTTACATGGGTATAAAGTGCTATAGTGGCACAGTAAATAAGGCATTTGGCTGCTACCTGGAGGTCAGCAGTTCAAACCCAACCAGCTGCTCTGCAGAAGTAAGGTGGGGCAATCTACTTCCATAAAGATTTACAACCTCAAAAACTCAAAGGGGGTTGCTATGAGTTGGATTTGACTCAATGGCAATGTTTTTTTTTTTTTTT